TTGGCAAATTTTTATTTTATATTTTATTGACTCACTTTATTGTTTCGGATGCTAGAGATACCATGGTAAGCAAGGCCCAGTCTGCCCTGACTTCAGGGAATTGACCATCTCTTTGACACTATTTCCCAAAAGGTATTTCTCACAACCCTCCTCACTTGAGAAACTTTTAAGAATAAAGGACGTGTGACCCAAAGTTTGGGACACTGCCATTTGACCTGTCTTAGAGGTTACTTAAGTCCCCGAGGAGACCTGCTATGGGAAAAAAAGGGGCTACCTTTATTTAATCTCCTTTTTCCCAATTATTTGATCCAAACTCAGCCCCTGCCCATTCCACACTGAGAACCACTTAGCTACTGGAATTTTTCCTAACCCTCTGATGTCTCAGGAGAATAAGAAATACCTTCTGAAAATCTGGAAATCCTTTTTCTGAAAAAGTATAGGACTTATAAACTATCTTTGTTTTTGAATGTGTTGTGGAATGCCTCAGATTTGTGGGTCTGTGCATTTGTGTGTATATATACACATGCAAAGTCCAACATGATAATAGAGGATCAGTCTCAAGGTCAACTTTCTTCTTTTCTCCACTCAAGCATAATTCTAGATTAATGAGAAGTGTATCTCATATCTCTTTATCTTTCATGGTGCCTATTCCAGGGCCTCATACCTGACAGGTGTTCACTATCAGAATCAGAGGGTTGGAAGATTTTTTTTATTTTTTATTATATCTTCTACTCTCTGCACCAGTGAGAAAATCAGATCTCAGAGAAGTAAGTCTTTTGTCCAGAGATATTCCATATTGGGCGAGTTGGACTTAACCGTTTGGTCCCTGGGACTTCTAATCCAGTGGGTCCTTGCTCTGATATCATGTTGCTACTCTCTTATGCCTGACCTAGCACAGTGTCCCCTCTGTGGGGAAATCCAACCTCTTCCGCTACTCCTAGCAAGTGAGCCATCTCTTTCACTGTCTGAGGTGGTTTCCTGGGCAGGGATCCACACTTTCATTCTTTCTCTGGACTCATTGCTAAGAGACCCAACATTCCAGGAGGCATCCAGTCTAGTTGTAGGGATGCTGTGAAACCCCTGTACATGGTGGAAAGTCATCATGGATAGTCAGTTTCCCTACACCTCTTGGTGAATGAAGGAGGGAGTGAGAATGGATGGTCTTCAGTGTCAGCAGTGTTCTCCTCAGTGCATTTTAGAATATCAAGGCTGACTTTCCTCATCGTGTGGCAACTTTTAGAGCACAAAATGGTGTTGAATGACATTATGGGCT